AGGTAAATTAAATGATTTGCCAATGGAATGAGTATTTTTACTCTTTAAATAAGATATTTAGATAAAATGCACTTGAAATAGGACAATGCAATTACATTTACTTATTTTTAAGTGTAATTATCTTGTTCCATTGGCAAAATGTATCTTTTACCTCCTCAATTCAAGAACAAATGCACTTATTTTTAAGAAAAAATGACATATCTAGATTTAGATTTTTTTCCAGTGAACCACAGACATTTATACTGGTTGATTTAACACAAAATCTCTCTTTTACTGGAAAGAGAAAAAGAAATTAAAACAGTGAAGAAATGCATTCATACAGAAGGAATTGCATCTATGTGGCCCTTCTGGTGTCTTGTTTACCTCGTCGGTGTTGTAAATGATCTGAAGACCGGAGCAGATCATCTCCACCAGGTAGAGCAGGAACAGAGAAACCGCATCGATCTGCAACGATGAACAGAACAGATGGGGGTGAAGTGCTTAGTGGGTCATTTGGTCTCCCTCTGTTGTCCATTTAGCAAAAAGCGACGAAAAACTGAGATAAGGGTTTTATTTTAGCTAGAAGCCACTTTAAGACACCATCAATAGGGAAAATACAAACAGCCAAGGACTTCCTGTGAAAAGCAAATGCTTCACTTCTATAGACTTTGGTTGATTTTCGGTGTCTTTGTCACAGCCTGGAAACTTTCCACATTTGTTTTGTTTGATTTCTGGCTCTCTTGCTGTATTGGACTCAGATCCCAGGAAATAGAGTCTCCACCCTGAACTCGGCACACCAAATTGACCTCTTTCGATACCATTGACAGAAGAATAAATGGTTTGAGTGAAGCACATTTGCCTCTCAGGAAAAGCCATTTTTACCGGCAGTACATGCATTCTTCATTGATGCCTGAGGAACTGAGGCGCCGTTATGTTTCATTTATCAGCCAGTTCATTCATGTCGGTGCATCTTTAAAAAGGGTTACTCATCATAGCTTTTGATCTGAAAGTGAACATTTTTTAGCACATTTACCCTGAAAATGCAAAGAACAACCTGCACCAAAAATGTTTTTTGTTTTAGTTTCCCATTTACTCTCATTTCTGCTATTTTCTACCTGCTGACCTACCTGCAGGTGGTGATAGTCGTTGTAGGAGATAATCTCGTCCCCGGTGTCCACATTGAACACAGAGTGAAGACACTTGGAGGGACTGGGGTCCTTTTTAAACTCCTCCACCTGGAAGAGAGATGAAGAAAGGCAAACACTGTGGGATAGATTTCCTTTATTGCTTTCAGTCTCCCCCCGTAAAACTTTAAACAGGTCAGAAATCTCATCCATGAGAAGCTGAATAAAGTTCATTTTCAGCACCTAAAAAACATTCCTAAGCCTTGAAACTTTTTCCTACTTCAATACATAAAAGGCAAAATGTATCTAGGGACGTAATTAAATAATCAACATATGATTCATAATCGATCAAGGGTTTATTAGATAAAAACATTTGATTAACTGATGTTTCTTAAAATAAATTTCTTTCAGTTCTGCATTGATACCACCATCCAGTAGAGGGCACCACATCTTTAAGCAGTACCTCTGGTATTTACAGGAGGGCAGAGAGAAGAATGGATCCAGACTCCGGTCTGGGATTATTTACACTCTTTAATGGTGACAAGGAGACTAAACTTTATGCGGTTCTGTTTGTAAATATAAATACTCTATAAGTTCCTTTAGTTATCATCTACATAGTGCCCATTTTGCCATGCTGCATGGTGTGGCAGCGTGCGTTCATTTCTGTGTTCAGACAGTGAGGATGTGATGTTAGGAGAGTGCAAGGCATTGTGCAAAATGTTTGTAAACCGATAGAAGAAGTTCTGCTGGCAATAAGCATGGTAGATGGGGAAGGTTTCTGTAAGCTAATGCACATCATAGGGTTACTATTAAAACTCCTCTGAGAGCAACAAGAACTCCCTCTTTAAAAGTGCAGGTAACAACACAAAGCCTCTCACCTCTGATTGCTGAATTAAACTAAAGACAGACCTGTATTATAGTCGCCATCCACTTTATTGAAACAAAGTCACAGTATGTCAGAGTGACTTACCCCGTCTATTAATGCTAGTTTTAGATCTCTGTACTGTGGAAATAAGTACCGTATTTTCCAGACTATAGAGCGCACCACACTATAAGCC